ACCGGGCAAATCCCAGGGCTCGAAGTTGTAAATGTCGACCTCAGGTATAATCTGGACGGAGCTCTCGAAGCCATCCATCTTCCGCTTCAAGTAATAGGAAAGAAGCTCGATATCAGTCGGCGAGAATTTGAAACCCGGAAAAGCCGTCGACACAGATAAGTCTTTCGAAACTTGTGCCGCCTCCGTTGCCATCTGCTCGATAAGGATTACCGCCGCCGGCGAGAGGAGGAGAGAGATAAAAAGGCAGGGCCTTTGGCTTCTGGGTCAATCGGAGAGTCCAAAAAGAACAAATTTTTTTATTGTGCCTCGGGAATCGGATCCCGACACGTGAAGACGACGATTACGCACCCTCAAACATACGTTTCAGCTCTCTCCTCTCTCTTTTAAGGCATATGCCTTGCCACAGCTGTTGCGCGGGTATTCAAATCTACGTGTGGCTGCCACGTCACCACTCCTGCTCTGTTTCAAACCCTTCGCTATTTTGTCTAACCACCTTTTCTTCTTTAATGTTCCAAATTTTGCTAACGTGTTAATCGGATATTTAGAGTTGAGCTATTGCCTAATGGAAAAATTACACGGAAATTAAGCGATGATTGCTATGAAAAATTTAATCATTGGGCTAGAAGATCCAATAGAATACATAAAATCCAAAGTGATGTGGAAGAAAAAAAATAGATATAAATAAAAGGGATTTTATGAAAAATACGGTAATTAAGTTTAAGAATTTGATAAATACACTTTATTTTTTTTTAAAATACCTCTTTTAATAATTAAAAAACCTATTTTATCCATATTTGATATTAAAACTAATTAATTCGTAATATAATTATTATTAACATTAATTTTTTTATTTGAGATAAAGTTTTGTTATTAATTAAAAAATAGTTATTCACATTGAAATATCATGAGTCTTTTTATATTTATCATCTATTCTCCAAAAACACCAACAATATGCATCATTTTTTTCTCAAAACAAAATAAGAACCATTTTAAGAATAAAAACTAGGACAACACAACAAATCGAAAATGAAAAAACAAATTTAATAGGTTCCAACAATACAAATATAATTTAACAGGAACATAGTGATTATTGTGATATGCGGTGACAGAGAGATACGACGGTAAGACGGAATGATACGAGGGTGGTGACGGAGTGATACGAGGGTAAGAAGAGAGTGAAGACGGTGGTGACGTAGTGATGCGTGGGTGGTGACGGAGAGATAAGATAGTGGTGACGGAGTGATATGCAGGCGGTGACGTAGAAATACGACGGTGGAGAGATACGATGTTTTGACAATTTTCATGAAATATTGGGCCATTTCATGAAATGTCTTTATGGACCTCTCTTTATTATATGTAAAACTTTCTAATTCTGCGTTTCAAAAAAATTAATTTTATAAAATTATAATTTCTATTATTATATATATATATATAAATTTATCACAACAAATTAATTCTATTTTAAATATATAATTTATCATTTGTAGTGCAGATTTTTTTAGGCTATTTTCGTAATTTCATAATTTCATATTTAATAAAATGTATTTAAAAAAAAATGAAGAGGTATTTTTCAAATTTAAAAAATCAAAAGAGGCATTTTTTCAAATTTCCTCTAAATAAATTTTTGTGTGTGTTCTTTTTTCTCCACTAAATAAATCTTTTATTACTAAACGTCACCAATTTTCAACTAACAACTTCACTAGTAGGGAAGTGATTTTAGGATTAGTTTTCATTTTCCATATCTTTGACCTAATGATTTTAAAACCGAACCGGCAACCAAACCAGAGAAGCATTTGGGTCATAGGTTAATATGGTTCGACCGGATTCAACCGGATTTGATGATATTTTGAAATTATAGTATACTTGATTAAGTATAAAAAAATATCATAAATATTAAGAACCAATTAATTCTAGTAGTTTTAGTGATTTAGTCAAAGAGTTAAGAGAACATATCTATGATTTCTTTAATACGTACCTTATAGTTTGATTTTATAGTGTTGGTTATCGAATTTCAGAACAAAAGATTCGAAGAAAATTAGGAAAATAAATGTAAGTAGAAGAAGCGTAAACGTCATTACTCATTTATAAATCATATATTTATCTTTTTAGTTATAAAAAGAGCAATTGCAAAAATACCATTTTTGGTGTGTGCATTTGCAAGAATGCCACTTAAGGGCGTGCATTTTAAAAAATACCACTAATTATGGATTTTTAAAACCTAAATCTTAAAATTATAAATCTTAAAAAATGTTTTGATCTCTAAAACTCCTTAAACCCTCAAAACTAAACAATAATACAACATAGTTAACCAAAACCTAAATGATATAATGAATTTTTTTTGTTGAAAAAGTGGCATTTTTGCAAAGATTTTGAAAATGTGGTATTTTTAAAAAGTGGCATTTTTTGAAATTTCTCTAATAAAAATAATAACTAAAAGAAAAAAAATTAATTTTGTTAACAAAATAGTAAAATTTGGTTTAAACCCGGTACGAAACGATTCGATTGGGTCGCCGGTTTCCGGGTTTTTGCCGGTTCAATAATTGGGTTAATTCAACTTGGATTTTAGAGTTAACCCAACTCGGATCAGTATCCGATTCGCAGTTGAACCCGGTCCGACCGTCATTCCAATCCGGTTTTCAAAACATAGCTTTGACCATAAGGTCCGTAACCCTTTTTCCAAAGGTGAAAATAAGCTCTCTACCAAGTTGTACCCACTTTGTATTTTTGTGTATTACATGTTCCTTCTTTGGACAATTCCGAGACATGTGTATCTTGGAGATCACTCGATACTTTGAGACGTAGTATATGATCTGCGTCTTTATCAACAAATGTATGTCTAATCTGATCCTCTTTTCACCTATGTGTGTTTACATCCTAATATGATCCTATTTAGCCATCAGACATGTGAAAATGACGTGAGAGATCGTTTCATCTGCGTTACCACATTCGGGACAAGTTATCTCAGTGTAGGTTCCACGAGAATTGAGACTGCGAGTGCTCTTGCTAAAGCCTTCCACATAAAATGTCTGATTTGAGGAATCATTTTCACTTTCATATCTTTGACCATAATATTTTTCCATAGGTGAAAGAGGATTATTTTATGCTCATTGACTTTCGATAAACTCTCTACCAAGTTGCACCAACTTTGTGTAGTATATGTTTTTTCTTTGGATAATTGACGTGTGTCTATTTTTACGTCAGCGACATAAAGACCAGTCCAAGTGCACGGCAATCAAAATAGTACTTAACGGTCGAATCCACTAGAGACTGGTAGGGCACTATAAGTTTTTGGAAGAGAATTAAGCTAAGAAAAAATATGGGGGTTTGTGATGATGCGATTAAATAAATGTGGATAGAAAATCAATGGAAACAAACGTTGGGCAGCAGGAAAATCTCAGGGTGCATGGTGCAATTTATTCATGAATGAGGAACATGGATCTAGTTAAGTATGCAATCCARTCGTTAATTAATCATAATATTTTCATATCAATGATTAATCATGTCTAACAACCTAATTCATTCAGATTATGAAGGTGAAAAGGTAAGCATGCCACAAAAGTTGATACAAAGCTCACCCAATACAAAGCAGGTGTGCATGCGCGTAAATCTAGCAAAGGAGGGATTTCTAACTCAAATTCACTTAATAATATAATCAACCAACTCTCGCACTGAAGATTAATATATTAATCAACCTAAATACTTGACTCTCGCAAAGCAATTAGATAGATAGATATGCATAAAAAGGATTAAGATTCGATATGTTAACTTTCTCCTTACACGACTGTCGCAAAGATAAAGTTCAAGCTCATCTGTACTAGTTCCAATCAATCAGTCATGACTACCTAACACGACTCTCGCAATGATAATGTTCAATCTCGTAAAGATCGATCTAGAATTAATCACAAGTTTGTTAAACTAGCAATATGCAGAAGATAAAAGCATAGATGAAGACTCCACTAAATTTCTATGCATGAAAAATTTATATTTATCGATCCATGAATATCTCCCCTTGAAAACCTCTTAAACCCAACAATCAAACTACTCAATCATAGAAGTGAAGATCATAACAAGAGTAGAATAAAAAGATATCATTAATAAAAAGGGTTTAGAAAGCTTCTCTCTGCTAGTATAAAGATTGGAGGTTTTGGCCCTTGAATCAGTACGTAAAAGCTTGATAAAAACTCTAAAACTAAAGAGTTTGAGCCAAAGGCTCTCCCTCAAAACAAAAGGTGTAACTATGGTGGTGGCTGTGAAGGTGGTCCTGGTTTTCGTGGCCTTCTTCTATTTACATAGGTGAGAAAGTCGGGTAGGTATATCCCAAAAGATTTAGGAGATATTCTTTAAAAAAAAAAAAGATTTTGTCTTTTTTCGGCCAGGGTGTTCGGTCGGACACCTCTGCACTGATATCTTCTCGAATCTTCAAGGATCAGTCTTCGGTAAATTGAGCGTATCTTGCGATTTAACCGTCCGATTTTGGTAATAGAATATTCATTTTGAAGCTGAGATCCTCGTATATCTCAAAACCCACGAAAATACTAAAAGTATCTTCATCTGGAGTAAAACATCTGACGTTAAAAATCTGTCATTTCTTGAAATGGCTTGATTTCACTCTTTGAAGGTCAAAATTGCTCCAAATTCCTATATTGACTTCAAAACCCACGAAAATGCTAAAAGTAGCATATTAAGTAAAAAAAAAAAAACCATTCATTTTTTAATTAAAAGGTTATTAAAAATAGGGGCAATTACAAAAATACCATTTTTTGTGTGCACATTTGCAAGAATGCCTCTTAGGGGTGTCCATTTACAAAAATGCCACTAATTATAGATTTATAAAGCCTATATCTTAAAATTTTAAACCCTAAAAAATATTTTGACCCCTAAAACCCCTTAAAYCCTCATAACTAAACCCTAATAGAACATAATTAACCCGAACATAAATAATATAAAGAAAAACTAATTTTGAAAAAGTGGCATTTTTGTAAAGATTTCAAAAATGTGGCATTTTTGTAAAGTGGCACTTGAAAACTGGCATTTTTTGAAAATTTTCTTAAAAATATAAGAAAAACGGGTAAAATATCGTATATATCAATAATCCTCAGACATGTGTATCTTGCAAGTTTCTTGAGACAACTTAAAACACGACATGGCATATACTGATAGTGACATTGCAACTTAGGAGAGTTTATTTACCT